TGCAGCATTAAGGTTTTCCTTGATTGTTAATGAGGATGCATTCTTCCATGAGTTGGTTAAGAATTGCTTTTCTTTCTTTTTCCCCTGAATTGCCCTTTGATGTCTGTCCTTTGCTCACTTATGTGTTAGGTCCTGCTTTGGAAATATCTTTGCTTGTGTTCTCAGTATAGTAAAGATGTTTGTCTGCAGCGAGGGGGTGCTGAATACGTAAATGGCAGGGTGAACACTAACGGCTGGTCTGTCATGTGGTCTGTCATGTCCGCTGCAAGCATCTTGTAGCACATTTGGGGGAGCACATAGCACTCTCTGTTACCTACCTGAGTGGCAGAGCCCCTCTGTTCCACAAGGCTGGCTGAAGCCAAATTCAACACGGCCTGGCCACCCCCAGCACCATTTCCTGGAGGCTTAATTGCTCCGGCTCCCTAACCATTCCAAGAATAAAGAATAAAACCAAGAGTTGTCCTCAGGGAACCTCGGCCTGTGTCCCCCTCTCCCTCAGAATGAAGCCCTGGGGAGGTCACTATGCAGAACTGTGCTACAGAAGAGGCAGCAAAGAGGAGGCAACTGGCTGCCCAGGGTCCCACAGGGTGAGGGTGACACTCAGAGAAGGGGACACTGACCTCACCACAGGGAAGTGCTGTCTCTCAGCTCCCTGGACAGGACACCAGCCTTGACCACTTAGGATTGACCTGCTCAGCCAACCTATGAGGTGGTACCTGATCACTTGTGGCGTTTTCAGAAAGCCACACTCCTGCTCATTCACCTCCTCCTCCTCCTCCTCCCTGCAAACACTTTTCTGAAGCAAATGCACTGGGAAGAACTGGCTTTTCTGGGAACATGGCCTTGCCAATGGCCACCCTTACCCACCCCCAACACACACACACACACACACACTCCCCCTCCCCCCACCAGACCTTGTAGTCTACACAGCCTGGATTCACTGAGGATGAGCAAGAAAGACACAGACTCTACCTGCATGGAACCAGCAGACCAGAGGATGACCCACAACACACTCCCAAATAAGCTGGACATAATACAGTGTGAGGCTGTTGCACGTACAATGTAAAAAGTAAAATACACCAAGGGCACAGAGAGTGACCATGAGAGTGCTAGTATGGCTGACTCTGAAGAGTGACTGTTCTGGCTGAGACGTCTGTAAGGAGAAGCCACCTGCCAACACGTGAGGAACGGGAGTTTGGGCAGAGGGGCCAGCAAGCACAAAGATCCCAAGGCGGGGACAGACTCGGCGGGTCTGAAGGAGAAGACAGATGCTGTGGTGGAGCCTGGCCAAGGGGAGACAAGGGGAATGGTCTCGAGGGGATGGGGCACTGGTGGGAAACTGGCTTGGACTCTGGGGGAAATCAAGAGCCAGTAGGGCATTAAGCAGGGGTTTACCTGCAGGAGGTAACCGTGTGAAGAGCGCAGACTATAAGGGGGTGGAATGGTCCCCTGCCATTGTCACCTGGTTAGCTCCTTGTCATCCTTCAAACTACAGCCCAGTGGGCATTTCCTCTGGGAAGCCATCCCTCCCTCCCCCTTCCCCCCACCCTCCCCCACCCCCGTCAGATCCCCTGGTGAGGCCCAGAGCATCAGGTTCCCTTCATCACATCTAGCTCTGCAGGAATTTCAGGTGCATTTCTGGTTAACTGGTTAATGTCTGTCTTCCCCACCAGACTCTGAACTCCTTGGGAACAGGCACATCCCTCCTCTTTCTACCTTATCTCCAGCACCTTGCACAGAGCCTGGCACACGGTGGGTGCTCAATCACTGTGAACAGAATAAACATGGAAGCCCCTAGGGTCAGCCAATTTTCCACTTCCTCAATGAATGGTTTTCTGCTTCTGTTTCCTCCCACCTCTGTGCCCCCCACACCTTGCATGTACCCCTTCCACAGGAGCCAGCATGAGCGTAAATAGCTACACGCACCTACACACACACACACACCAGACTATGCCCCAAAAAGCAGAATGTGTGTGTGTGTGTGGTCCTTCATCACAGCACAGGGATCCCCCTGACTTAGTGCCACTGTGCACAGACCTGCCTTACCCATATCCACATTACCCTGCCTCCTCCACCTGCTCAAAGACCCCTGTGCGAGCTCAGGAGAGAGTCTGCACCAGAAAGGCAAATCAAAAGCCAAGACCTCTCCCCCCATCTCTCCCTGTTGAGCAGCAGCATCCACAGATAGACTGGCAGCAGGAGGCCCCCATCCTCTCCTCCACCCTGAAGAGCTCACACAGACAGGACTGAGCTGTGCTTGCAAAAACACATGGCTATATTTTACAAACCAAAGATGAGCATACATAGGCTACGGAGTACAATTGAGGGCAAAACGATGGGTTGTCTGACCTCTGGTCTGGCCCTGGAAGTTGGGAAACTGGTCCGTATGTTTAGGGCCAACCACTTCCCTACAAAAGCTCGGTGCCCGTGATCCCTGGTGCTGTCAGATCCCACTTACCTAATCAGCATTGTGAATTTAAAAATCTCTTGTCACGTGCTCTGAGAAAGCTTGGTAGGTAAGAAATTCTTTGTGAAGATTAAAATGGATTATGTTTTTTGAAGGGCCTTTTGGATCAAAAGCCTTAAATGAGCATGCCCCAATGCCCCCAGGGATTCTAAGATACAATCAATTTTTAAAAGGCTGCCCCAAAATTGAGCTACAAGAATATCTGTTACACGGCACTGAGGGAACACAGTTGAAGACAATGGAAACGTCTAGTGAAGAATAATTACTTAAAGTAATTACGGTACGTCTGTACAGTGGACTGTGCTGCACCCAAAATAATAACAACAATCACAGCACTTACTGAGACTTACTTTGTTATGGGGACCACATGAAAAGCTTTACAGGCATCATCTCATTTGACTCTCCCTATGTCTTAAGTAGCATTATCATCACAATCTCACAGGTTAGAAAATCAGTATTGAAGAGTCAAGTCATTTGCCTGAGGTCACGCGTAGCTAGTAGTTGGATTCACCCCCAGGCAGTCTGACATGAAGACCTCAAGCTCTCAGCCACAATGCTGAGTGACCAAATAGGATGCCATTAAAAGACAGACTGTAGAAACAAAACCCGTCACATGGGAGAATGTTGATGCTACGGTGACAGGTAAAACAAGTGGGTTCTTAAACAGGACACACACACTCATCACACCTAGGCGCATGCATGCAAGCAAAGACAAAGGGTTTGGAAAGGATAACACTGTTAGCATCTTGGTGTAGACCTCTGAGTGGGTGGAAGTGTGTTCTGTTATGTTTTCTTCTGCTTGTGTTTTCTGATTTTGCTGTAACAAATGTTTTGGTTTTGCACCAAAAAATTTTTTAAAGACTAAAAATTTTGAAGATTAATGTTACTGTCCAAAATCACCCCCCTGGACTCAGCTTTTGCATAAACCCACATGTCCAGCTGTTGGCCTTGCTTCAAATTCAGATACAACTGCATGGAGAGGACTTAGGACACGACCTGAAGCCAGCCCCCAAGCTCTGCTGGCCCTTCATGGCTTATCGTCCCCTCCAGGTAGCCAAGGCTCTCAAACTGGGAAGACACTGTACACATTTTCCCCCTCTGTCCCCAGGAGCCTGCGCTCCCCATTCCCCCCCTTTGGGTACTTGCACCCCTAGGGAGTGCTGGGCTGACAGCACGGAGCTGTGTGGGTTGGAAGAACCTGGCAGTTTCTGCCCTGGCTTGGGCTCTGGCCTGGGAGCCAAGCCCAGGGACCCTGGGAGCCTGAGACACTCAATCCCCTGTTGCTGGGTCTAAGAAGGAAGCACTTCCCCAAGTGCCCAAGGGAGGCAGGATAGCCCAGAGGCTGGGGCCCCAGCTCTCCAGCCACATATACCAGGGCCCCTCCTGGCCTCGCCCCCTGGCTCTGTGATCCTGGGCAAGCTATTTCTTCCCTCTTAGCCTGTTTCCATGCCTGTCAAATAAAGAATGAAAATACCAACTTAGAAAAGGATTTATGAGAATCAGAATAACATATGTTAAAATATATACTATAATGATGTCAATGGGTAACATTTCCTGGGCACCAACGACGGGGCAGGCAATCGGCGGGACACTTTACGTGTCTGATCTTCCACACCTCTCACAGCCACCCTGTGGCACGCACTGGGACACTCCTGCTTTACAGAAGACAGAATGAAGCTTGGAGTAGTGAGGTCACTTGCACTGGTACTGGGGAGGCAGGAATCTCCGTTGCCCTGCCTTGGCCCACACCACTACGCCACAGAGCCTGGCATATGCCTGGAACATGGACTTGGTCCAGATGGTTGCCACGGCCATGTCTCTCTGCTGGGCAGAGACTTTACAGAATGGTACAACAGCGAGGAACCCCTGACTGGTTCTCACCACTCGGCAAGCAGCTCGCACTGCCACATACCAACTTTAGGAAGCCCTCCTCTCAGAGTGACCAAATCTCCCCCACGCACACCCTTGGAGCCAGTCCCAGTGACCACAGGCAATGGCTTCGCAATGGCTATACAGCCTATGGCAACCTCCCTCCAGACCTGGCCCTGTGCTCTGGCCACCAAGGCTGCTGGCCCAACAGGGGCAACTCACGCCCTAGGAGTCAGGCCTGCTGGCACTCACACCTGGCACCTGTTCCAAACCCCTTTCAGTTCTCAGATCTGGGCCTTGGGCCTGGGTCTCTCGGTGCCTCTGGACAGCAGGCCTGTCTGGCCAGAGGGAACCATGGGAATCAGGAAAGCAGCGCCCTTCGGCAGCCTCTCAAGTGTCCGGAGCAGCTGTAGGGCCGGGGCACTGGCAGTGTGCACGGGCTGGAGTCCGGGTGTGCAAGCGTGTGCAGAAGCGGGAGGGCAGCCGGTGTGAGTGTGTGTGCGCGCGCGGGGCCCCGGGTGTGCGCCGCGGTGATCGCGATCTCGGGGCGGGGAAGGTCTCCTCCCCCCACCTCGTTGAGAAATCTCAGTGAGTCACCGAGTGGTTCTGCATATTAATGAGCTCACTGCCGCGAGGGCAGGAGCGGATTTAAAAGAGGCCTGGGCGGGCGGAGGGAGGCTGTGGAGAGCGCGCAGAGCCCAGAGCGCAGCGCAGCCGGCACCCGGCACCCACCGACGGGCGCAGCGGGGGCGAGCGGAGCCGGAGGCGCGCCCCGGGCAGAGAGAGCTGAGCCGGCCGGCCGGGCGCCCTCCCCAGTCCCTGCTCCCGCGCCGCGCCCCTGCGGCCAGCATGAGGCTCCTGTCGGCCGCGCTGCTCCTGCTGCTCCTGGCGCTGTGCGCCGCACGCGTGGACGGTGAGTGCCCGGGAGGTCTCTTGTCGCCGTCCCGTCACGTCCTGGGGCGCCTGGGCGCTAACTGCTGGGCTTCCAGGGGCCCCGGAGGTCCTGGGTGGGCACTTAGGGCGGTCGGGGGCAGGAGACCGCGCGCGCAGCTGAATGGCACCGCGCGCTCTCTCTCCCAGGGTCCAAATGCAAATGCTCCCGAAAGGGGCCCAAGATTCGATACAGCGACGTGAAGAAGCTGGAAATGAAGCCAAAGTACCCGCACTGCGAGGAGAAGATGGTTATGTGAGTTCTGGCTCCTCACAGCGAGCATGTGTGCGGGCTGCTCTTAACCTGGTGCTGGGGCACAGCATGGGGCTGGGTCGGCGGGGGCTAACAAACATTCCTCTGGGCCTTTGGCAAGGCCTTGGACTAGCTTTTGTAATTGCCCAGCAAGTCCTTAGGACGCTGGCGCGACAGTCTGAAAGAGTTTGGAAAGAGGGTCACTGTCCTGTGCTCTAGAAACAGCCTCTGGGAGCTCACTCTTGCTAAGATTCAATGGGTAGCCTTGGTGCTTGTGCTGCCCACCTTTCTGGGCTGATCAAGGGTTAAATGGCTCTGGGCGTGCCAACTTTAGAACATCAGGATTGAAAGTGCTCCAAACTCACCCAGAACTATTGAACTTGCACCCATACTGGGAGGTATGCTGCCTTACTGTTACTGGAGAGAGAATTCAAACAAATGTTGTCTTAAAACCCCTCAGACCCACCCCTCCTTTCAGAGCCTTCTTCCTACCAGGGGACCACAGTCAGCATTTGGCTGCTAGCGATTTCATGTTGAGACTGATCCTTGATCCTCCACTGCCGGCTGGACTCTTGTGGGTCCCTAAGCCTGAACAGCGCTGTGCAAAGCGACCTGCTGGGGTTAACATGCCATGCAGCTGGAACCCTGCTTGGTGGGGATGCAAGGAATATTTTAAAAACTGGGACAGAGTGAGAGAACACGGAGTTTCCTTGCTCCTCTGTCTTCCCAATTAACCACTTGAGTCCAGCACCACTGTTTCCCCATCAGTATGCACTTGGCCAGGAAGGAAGCCCTTGGCAAAGCAGCTACTGTGGTCTGCCACGGACCATTGGCCCCTCTTCCCCTCCCCCAGAAACAGGACACACTTTATTCTCAGTCTGGGCAAGTGCCTTCTATCCGCTGGACTCGCTGGCCCAAAGGCCCCTACCAGTGCAGGCAAAGGCAGCCCCCACCTCCCCACACACACACACTGCCACCTGGGGGCTGCATAGTCAGGCTGGAGTTAGGGGAATCTGCGAAGCCACCAGGCTTAAGCTGAACCCCACTGCCTTCCTGCCCAGGCACATAAATCAACCTCTGCCCCTTGCCTAGCAGACCCAAGTCCAGAAAAACTTCCAAAAATCCTTTTTGGTGGGGGCTAGTGTTCCCACAAGCTGAAGGAGGAGCTACAAGCCCTTCATGGGGGCTGAAGCTACAAGCCTCCAGCTTGGGGGCTGAAGATGACAGGGACATGGCCAATTAAGTTTGCACTCCTCTAAGTATTGAAAACCACCCCATCCCCCAAGGCGAGCCACCAAGACCTTGCAGGGAAGGAGCACCAGAGTATGGGGTGCAGAGACTTCTCAAAAGGACCCTCAGTAAACGAGTTTACTCTTTCTCCTGACTAAATTTTTTCAGTATAGAGAGGAAACTGACAGCAGGCAGGTGTGAGAAGGCTTTATACGACCTTGTGAAAATTTGCAGTGGCCTCAGGAGGTCCAAACATAGTCACCAGTCCCCTTCCTAAACCTTCACCCACACCTAGCCCCGCCCACAGCACTGAAGGGCTGAACATCCTCTCCCATCTCAAGCTCCTAAGAGTCCCTAGATGAGACGAAGGGCCAGCACTTTTTGCCAAACCAGGTTTTCAGCCACAAACGCTGAACAAAAGCAAGTTTTCAGCTCACCCTGCGCCACCCAGAAATCTCTGATGAGGCTGAAGGTGGAGTGGCGAGGGCAGTGTGCTTTGCAAGTGGGAGTTCTTGCACTAGGCGACTCCAGATTTTATAAAGGGCCATTTATGCCATATGTCCAGTGAACTCTTACCCGAACCCTCGGCACCCCAGACCCACTGAGGAGAGGGAACACAGAACCCAGGAGTGACTGCTGGGAATATAACTCGTATCTTCACCTCACAAGCGAGTTTCATAGTCCCAGTGTTGTGACAAGCATCAAGGACTGTGGTGGGAGGACAGAGCGTCTCCACTGGTGCCCCTACCTTCAGGGTTGGGGACCCTCGGCCTACGCAGTGACCTAACAGAGGAGGGGATCTTCATCAGGCCTGGCCATATCCCCTCACTGCAAGTGCAAAAGCAGCCCTGTCGGCAGAGAGAGCAGTGGGCTCAATTCCCACAGAGCAGCCAGGTACTGTGGAGAGGAGAGCAAGGAGACTGCACTCAGAAGCCTGGCCCCAGGCCTGAAGACCTAGCAGGAGCGCGAATGAAACCTAGCAGGACAGGACAGGACCCAGGAAGCGACCCAACAGGTCTCAGGGAGAGCCAGTGAAGGCAGAAACCAGTCCACGGCATTTAGCAGAAGACTCAGCCCTGCTCTAGGAAGCTCAGGCTGCAGTGGGGGCCTTGGAGACTCAGAGCACAGAGAAGGGACGAGAACAAGTTGCCCAGAAATATTCTGCCCCCATTCTGGTGGCAAGAGTCAATATTCTCTCCCCGTCAACAGGGAGACACAGTTCGGGGTGGCCCTGCTCCCATCTAGAACTTGGCGCATGTGCCCTGACACTTTGCCTTTGGGAACCTGCGGGGCCCTACCTGCCCTCTCTCCCTCCCTTCTTGCTCTGCCCAATCCAGCCTCCAATTGCCCCTCTTTGCCCCCTCAGCTCATTCCCCAGCCCACCATCATCTCCTGCTCATGCCATCACCGCTCAGGGAGCGGCACCTCTCACCTTCCACTTTTCCACGTGCCCTAGGTGGTCCTTTGCTCGGGAACACCATCCTTCCTCCCCTACCCAGAAGCTTCTTCCTAAATCCTGCCCCCCTGGCCCAGCGCAGGCTGAGGGGGGCATGGCAGCTCTGGGCCACAGTCCTGCCTTCCCCATCCAGGATGGAGGGCACGCACTAAGGCTTCTCTTCCTCCTTGGCCATCTCGTCTTCTGAGACAATTACTAATGACAGGAGCTCTCCACTTTGCATCTACCGGGTGCTCGGCACTCTGTATACATTATACCCTTTCGTTACCCAATAACCCTAAGAAGTGGGTCCTATTATTAAACCGATTTTACAGATGGGCAAACTGGTTCAGAGAGGTTACCCAAGGTCCTACAGACAGAGCTGGGATTCACACCTAGGCCCTACGCTCTGTACAGTGCCACCTGCTCCTCTGCCTCATGGCTAGGGCCTCCTTCGGTTTGGTGCACTGGCTGACAGGCCCGAGGGGAGCTCTTATTTTCTTGCTGGGGGTTGAGACAACTGGGACTTCAGGCTCAGGAATCGAAATGGGCTGCAAGGCCAGAAAGACTTAATTGCAGGATCTGCAATGCCCCGGCCCCAGGACAGACTTCAGAGGATCAAGGGGCTCTGGGGCTTGAAGGGTCAGACAGAGACCACCATGTGTGCAGAGCATGACTGCTGCAAGCTCCTTGCATCCAAGGAAAGAGGTCTCGGTGTGCGCACTGGGTGGGAACTAGTTCTCTCCACCTCTCCAATCCCAGGTTTAGAGGAGCTGGAAGGGTCTCCGGAAATTTGTTCTCCAAGGGAAGCATGAGCTCTTTAGACAACAGCCTTGTGGGGGGTGGGGCCAGGGGTAGGAGGGCTACCCCAGACCCTAAGAGCTCCAGGAAAAAAGTGAGAGCCAATCACTCCATATAGAGTTAAAGTGTATGAGAAATCAGAGATTAAGGGGACACCCAGAACCTTCCAAAGAGGCAGCCAGGCAATAAGCACACGGGTTCGTTCCCTTGGAAGGAGGGAGGAGGCCACACACAGCCTTTCAGCGCCCTGCCTGGGACAGAGCAGGGCCACCCACAGGCCACAGTGCAGGGCCGGCGTTCAGGCTCCTCAATCCTGCACCCTGCGCTGCTCCATTTCAGCATCACCACCAAGAGCGTGTCCAGGTACCGGGGTCAGGAGCACTGCCTGCACCCCAAGCTGCAGAGCACCAAGCGGTTCATCAAGTGGTACAACGCCTGGAACGAGAAGCGCAGGTATGCGTCCCCCCACCTCCTCACAACTCCCTTCCCCCCAGCCCCAGTTCTGAGACCCCAGCCAGTGCCTCTAGCCCCCTTGAAGGGGTCAACACCCACCACAGTAGCCACGCGAGCAGAGAGCCACACCTGCTCACGTAACCCAATGGGGCAGGGAACTTGCCGCTTCACAAAGGGGGCTCTCGCTCTTCCGGACAACTGTAAGCATGGAAAATGTATCCTTCTGTGAACTAAAGTTTGCACCATGCTAACATTTAAGTCGTAGACTCAATTCCTCTTCTTTTTAAAGTAACCTAAGTTCTTGGATCCTCAGTTTCCCTCTGTCAAGTGGACGGGCAAGCAGCTGGTGGGGCCCTCTGGGACGCCTGTGTGGTGAGACATGGCCACTTAAGAAGCCATGTTTATTAACTGCAGCACTGGGCACCACCACCCGATGAGGAGAAACAAACCCTTCCCCCCACATGCTGCCTGTGCCCCCTGCTGCCCAGAAAGCTGACAGACTCCCTCCCACGCAGGTGCAGGGAGGGACCTTGGACTTGACCCCTAAAAAGCAGAGCCACTCTTAGTCTCAGGGGCAGCTGTGGCCAAATGACCAGAGTTGTGAACTAGACCCCTGTCCTCTCTGGGCTCTGCTTCCCCACAGTCAGAAGATGACTGTCCCTCTCTCATTTCCTGGAGTCCCTGTCTGGCAAGCTCCCGGCTGCCCCACACCACATTAAGAGTGAGCCTGTCCCAGAGCACACCTACTTCTCCCACACTCAGGGCCTACTCCTGTACCTACACAGCACGTGCATACATGTGCACACACACACAGAGGCGACCTCCTTGGGAGCTGGGCCCAGTACCCCATCCTCAGAGAGGGACACCAAGGCCAAGTGGAGGTGGGGAGCAACTTCCCTGGGAGCACGTGGCAGACAGCCAGGCCTCCTAGGGTCACCTTGCCCCTGCCCAGAGCAGCTGCCTGAGCCTCCCCTCCCGTTGCTCACCCCACCCCGGCCCTTCCACTCGAGGCTCAGCTCAGGACCCGCTCCCCCACAGCCCACACTCATGCCCAACCCCACTACCAGAGCCTTTTGTGCTGCCTCCAAAACCGCCTCGTCTGCAACTGCTTGAAATAGAAACTGATGAGAGCAAGAGGTTATTTCCTGTAGATGTGACGGGCACGAAGCCCTCTTTCTGGTCAGGGCAGGCAGTTCACGTGGCCAAAGCAAGACCTGTCCTGTCCACTGCCCACTCTCCAGGCCCTGCGTCATCCACGTGGAACAGGGCTAACCTCGGGGCCAGTCTGTGGCGGGAGCTGAGACCCTGCCCACAGGACTGCTGGCAGACACTCGGGCAGTGCACACACTGTGTCCCTGAGCCCTCCACCTGGGCCATGGCTCTGACGAAGGGGAGGCAGGCAGGGGACAACGCAGCCCTGCTCTTTTTATTTCTGCAAATTCCAATGAGGGTAGCCCCTCCTTATCAAGCCTCCCGTCGCTTCATTGAGTTCGCCCCCTTTCTGGGGAGGCCGAGGCATCTGGGAGAGGAAGGGGGCCATCCCTTGCCCTGTCCACCTCCCCTCCCCCCCCCGCCGTAAAAGGTTGGAAATGTCTCCATGAACGTAGACTGGAGAGAAAGGAACTACGGTGGAGTCCTCTTTGCAGAGACAGCGAGAGAATGCTAAATGTAGGGTGGAGTAAGGGGCCAGCAGGCCGGCCCAGGCTAGTCTGTGGGGTCCTGGCAGGCCTAGGGGCTGCTGGTCAGCGGAGCCAGAGGAGCAGCCCCGCATCTCAGAGCCCAGAGCCCCTGGCGGCCGCAGGAAACAGCAGCAGCAGGCGGAGCACCGTCAGGCGGTCTGACTCCAAAATAAGGAATGAGGCAGAGGAATTGGTGGGGCGAGTATGAAGCACGGCCCTGAAACAGCCAAGGGGCAGAAAAGAAGGGATTTAAGAACCGAAACAGAGACAGTCTGGGAGGTGACAGGGTGGGGGGGCGGTCACGCAGGCCCTACAAGCACTAAAGGAAGTGACCTTGAACCACAGGCCCCCGGGACAGCCCCAGCCCCACCACCACCCTCCAGTCCTCAGAACTAGCATTCTTCTGGAGGACATGCATTCTCTGGGCAAAACACAAAGGAAGATACAAGCCTGAGGTGAAGGAGGGGACGCCTGTCCTCCCCTGCCCCGTCCCTTCTCACGCTGGGGACAGACCTCGTTCCCACCACTGACATTCAGTGTTCGTTGGGCAAATCTTAAGTCCCTTGTGCCTCAGTTTCCTCCTATATAGAGAGGGCTTGCTCCATAGGGGTTTAAGGATTGCAGAGGTGGAGGCTGTTGAGAATGCACAGAGCCAGATTCGGGTAAGATTTTGAGGTCTGTGCAATGACCTCCTCCGAGGGGTCCCCCCTACCGCTGCTACTTCTCCCAAGCTCCTGCCTTCCCGGGAGGGGGATTCCCAAACACAAGGACGCAGCAGCTTAGCCCCCGGCCTGTGCATTCATTGCATGCGTCATGGTCTGAGCCACTTAACGTGGGTGCTTTCTCTTCCCAGGGTCTACGAAGAGTAGGGTGATAAGTCCCTCGTGGGAAAGCTTCATACCAGCTGGGAGGCGAGCAAAGGACTCTGCAGATAAAAAACAAACCTTTTCTTTCTCACAGGCATAAGACACAAATTATATATTGTTACAAAGCACTTTTTACCAAGGGTCAGTTTTTACATTTTATAGCTGTGTGCGAAAGGCTTCCAGATGTGAGACCCTTCTCTCCTGTGCTCCAGACTTCATCACACACTGCTTTTTACTGAAAGGGGGGAAATTCATGCCTTTCCTTTGTAAAAAAAAAAAAAAAAAAGAAAGAAAAAGAAAAAAAGAAAAGAAAAGAAAAAATGCTTTTTTGTATTTGTCCAGACATCGCTACATCTGAGCTTTATAAGCGCCTGGGAGGAACACAGAGCTTGGTTGAAACATTTCATAGCAGCGTTGCTCCGCTGCTAATGCGGGGCGCTTCCGCTCAGTGGTCCTGGGGCCTCCACACAGCTGCCATGGGCCCTCCTGGGCTCAAGGCTGGTCACAGCCTCAGGGGGACTCCGCAGTGGCCCCCATCACCAGGCAAGCAGAAGCCCATCTCTCTGCGTCTGTTCTTTAGGGACTCAAGTTTGTCTGCCCCAGGAACGTGCTTCAAGCCCCTGACCCCAACCCTGGTTCATTTTTACATATTCTAGGGAATAGTCACGAGGTTCCGGGATGGCAGAGCATAGGGCCCTTCAGAAAGGGGTTGCGTCTCCTTCTTGTAAAAGGTTCACTGCTTCAGTTTTTACTGCTCTAGAAGCACGTGAAGTTCCCAACACTGGTAGCAAAACCTTACAAGAAATCTTAAAAATGTACTGATCCACGCACAGGACACAGCTACAGACACACACGCTGATGATGATGGAGAGCCTTCCAGGCATGTTTCTTTCCCTCCTCGTGACAGAACATGAAAGACGGCATTCTACCTGGGACTCCCCGTGTAATTCTTCAATGTTAAACGGCACAGTCCTCTCTTTAAAGCTAGGGCGACCACGCACACTCTCCTTTGTACATAGTCTCTTAAGAATGCCCCCTCCACATGCCGCCCCTTCACTATATGCGTTGTTGTACTGCAGTGTCATATGCTATGCATGTGTCAGAAACCATTAGCGTTGCATGCAGGTTTCATATTCTTTCTAAGACAAAAAGAAAAGTAATAAAATATATTTGCAATGTACCCGAATTCTAGACTACTGACTTTTTTTCCACTGAGCAAGGCCAGGATGACAATCGTAGGTTTACCATGTTGTGAATAAAATGGGACAAGTGCCCTGGGAAGGCGTTTCTCAAACGCCTGTGGATATTGTCACCTTCGCAGGACGCCGTGACAGTCCTCAGGCCAGAATGCTAGGTCTTACGGTCACAGGACAGGTTCATCGGATTGACCAGGTCCGTACACAGGGAACTAAGGAGTCACACTAGGGTCTCCATTTAGGGGAGATGGTAGATGAGGGACAGTCACGATCCCTGTGGCCATGCCCCATGATTCCACCGGGGCTCGGGGAGAGTTGGAAAGTGCCTACCTGGAGGCTGTGGGGCTCCGGAGCCACATCCAGGGAGATACTGAAGCTCTCTATCTGCCTTTGCAAGTCAGGGGTGCCAAGCGCACCCCTACTCGGGATATCAGGGCATGGCAAGGGCGTGGTAAACATTAGCACCCCTACTGTTCACAACACCTGGCCCCTCTGTACTTTGCACAAACCCCCTACAGCCCCACAGCCCACTGTATCCAAGTCGCTGGATAGGCCTCCGTGTCCCCAGCATTCCACAGGACTACCTAAAGGGACGGCCAGGCTGTCCACACTTCTTGTTCACTACACGAGGAACCAGGAGCTGGGCACTCAGGTGTGCTTCGCCTCTGAGGACGGTTTCCTGACACGCACGACTGGCTCTTAGCACTTACAGGGGCGCACCGCAAGCACCTTGCTCTGGCGTGTCCTCAGCACAGTGAGATGATCGACCCTTTCCAGCATGGCCTCATCTCCTGACAATGCCAAGTTGTACCAAGTGTATTCCGGAGGAAACTGAGGACCAGAGAAGTTAAGAAAGTTGCCCAGGGTCACTCATCACACTGCTCCAGTAGCTGAACCTAACAGCCCTTCTGCTGAGGGGAGCAGGAGAGAGTGGGCGAGGGCCTCTGCAAAGGCCAGGGCTTGGTCCCGCCTTTCCCCGCATTACGGAGAGAGGAGGAAGATGACAGGGACACCAGACACCGACAGACAGAACGGAGGAAGAGAGGCCCAGTAGGAGGACGCCTCCGGTGGGGTTCTCTGTGCCGCTCCCTGAGTTGCAGGCTTCCCCTTCCACTCACCCTACACACGCCACACACGCAGCCTCCCCCCACCCTCTCTGTCCCATCTGTGGCTCTAGTACAAGCACCCCTTCCCCGCCCCTGCTGGTCCACATGTCCCCTTGGTTCTCTGACATCCCAAAGCTCAGATCGGATTCCTAGGCCCAGCAACCATGTCCCTTCGCGGCGTGCGTGCCAGGCACTTGCCCTACACGCACTACCTCCCCCTTGCCAGCCATGCCGCGCTGCAGGGGCCCAGGCAAGTCAAGAAATCTGTTGAAGAGACCCAGAAAATCAGTAGAGGGAGAAGTGGACTTTGAGCCCCAGTGTGTCAGGGCACAGAAGGGGGCAGAGACTCTGTGTAAATATCTCTTCTTCTACAGAGACCGGGTGTCCCTGGAGAACAAAAACTGGGCTCTGCTCCCGGGAAGATGCCCCTTTTCCTGATTACACAGCTCTTGCCCATCATTTTTCTCCTTGGGGCTTCTCAACAGCCCTAAGAGGTATCCACCGACCACATTCCAGAAAGGAGATCGACTCTAGTGCAGCAAAGCCAAGCCAGGCCACCTTTCCACGTGGCTCTCCTGGGCCTCCCCAGGGAGGCATGCAAAGGCACTGGGGCACCCAGCACAGCTCAGGCCCCCATGCAGGCTCCACCCCCAGAGTCACTATTTCCTCACAGACGGGCACAGTTTATGTTCCAAATGCCATGCTCCTGAGCCCATCCTCCTCCACTCTTCCCAAGGCCACGTCCTGAGGGGACCACAGCGTTGCACCAGGCTTGACACCAGGATGGCCACATCCTCAGAGAGCTCTGGCCCAGCCCTGTGGCTCATCTTCTCTGCTGAGCCAAACCCTCTACCACAAACGAGTTTTTCCTGGGCAGCCTGGATATCAGATCAGGACCAGCTACATAGCTTCAAGGCCTGGGCCAAAAGAACTATGCAGGGACCTCTATCCCAAAATTAAGAATGTCGAGACAGCAAGAGCAGAGCATCAAACCCCAGCACAGGGCTCTCTGTAACTCACATGCTGCAGGCCCACGGAGCCATCTGGCTACCTCGGGTAGCAACTCTAACACCATCCAGACAGCGCACTTGAGCCCTGAGTTATTATACGACCTATTCCACAATTTAACAGTTTCGTTTTAACCTGAACATCCAACAAGGTGTGCTCCTAGGAGCCAGGGACGATGTCTTACTCATCTTTGTAAAAACCTCCCAGAACCTAGGACAGCACCTGTGAGGTACTCAAGCCCTGTGAATTGATCTTCGTCTCAAGGAGCACCCTGAGACTATGTTCTCTGCACCCACTTACTGAGCTACCACATGTGCAAAGGCCTGCATCGGGCACCGTGGGCACAGGCTTGGTGAGGTGCTCTTCTGTCCTCAAGGGCAGAGCCCACTGTCTTCCACCCAGCCACTGTCTCCTTAGGAGGAGTTTGCTACGCGTCGCACATTGTGTTGGTTGCCGGAAATGACTCCTCCAGAAACTCCCCGGCTACAAGCGCGACACAGATCCAGCTGACACTGCCTGCCAGTCTAAGCGCGTGATGCCAGGGGGGCTGCATGGCTGATTTCAGGGCTGCTCCAAAGGGACAGCTCACTCAGTCCTGGAGGAAGCAACCCCTGACCAAGAAGAGGGCTCAGGGCAAACTGCCAGTTGCTCTCAGACAGAAACAGGAAGTGTTGATTCCATCCTGGCTCCGATGTGGCTGTGGTTTCTGTGTCCAGTGGCGACAAAACAGGCCAGCAATGACAGGGAGTACCACAGGGATGCTGGAGAGATCAGAACACCAGCCATACCCTTACTGAATGTCCAGGGAAACCAGCCCCAGCTCCAACATCTACGGCCCCCATTTCATGATGTCTCTTCCTATCCCTCTTCTTTGCCGTCGGGCCTGCCCAGTGAGCCACAGCTGCGGCCAGCCTGCCCAACCTTACGGGCAAGGATACCGACCACAGCTTTTCTGGGCAACCTCCCACACAAGGAAGACACCATCCTGACTTTAGGGACCTCAGGGTATTTTTCTGCCATCTTCTTTTTGAAAAGTTGAACAGATATTCTCGGAGATCATCAAGGAACCCAAATTGTCACACTAGGAAGGTCACCTCTCCCTGCTTCCTCCTCGCCAGACCGCTCTAGTATTTGCCACCAGAGGGCAGCAAAAAGTAGCTGCACCTGAGCCCAGGGCTCTCTAAGCTCCCTGCCCCGGGGACCCCGTGCAAACAGGGACAGCAGTGAACCCGCAAAGTCAGTGAGACCCTGTACCAAGGACCTGACATGCCTTATTGCACTGGATCCTGCAAACAGCCAGAGAAGGGGGCTCTGTCAGTAGCTCCCCTGCACAGATGAGAAAACCGAGGCTCAGTGAAGTGAACGCACTGTCCACATTCACGAAGCTCCCAGGTGGCAGACAAAGGATTCGGACCCAGCTGCGTCTGCCAGGGTTTTTGCGCCCTGAAGTGCACACTGCCTCCCAGTGCCTGCTGACCCCCGGCCCAGGGAAGACGGCCAGACCCTCACCTGAGGCTTCACTCTTGTTTAGAGAACAGAGCTCACTCATCCCCTTACCCTGGGCCACCCAAGAGCCGGCCTTAGCCAGGTTTGCGTCTGGCAGACACAACTTCAGCTGGAGAAGCGGCAGCCAGAGCCCGTTCCCGAAGCCACCAAAGAGGCTGAGTAACTGAGATGGCTGTTCTAGCATCAACTTGGACTCGACCTTGTAGTTCGAAATAAGGCGAAACCATTTGTGGTTTCAAAAAATGAATTCAAAACGAGGTTCGAAAGAATCAGCCCCACTTCCTAATGAGGGTTGACATTGTGGGATGAGTTGCAGGCATGTCTAATTGGATGCAAATGAGGCTCTCATCTCATCAACGTTATTTCCCCGGAGCAAAAGGGAAGGTGAAGCAACAGGCTTTTTCTTTCAACCCATTGTTTCCTTAAAGTCAGTTCTCGAAGGAGAACAGGAATGTTTCTAAATTACAAAGGCTTTTGTCCCCGTAAAATAATGCTCTGCAAAGACAGACTGGAGTTAATTACTTGCATTAGTACATTTTTAAAAAATTATAAACCGAGAGGATTCTGAGAGAAAGAATACCCTTCAATTCCTTGAGAACTGCTGAGATATCAGCCCTGCTGACTCCCCGCACTGTGAAGGGCAACCAAGTTTAATAAAAGCCATAACGGCCACCACAAATGGTATTCATCGAGGGCTTTCTCAACAGTCTCTGTCTGGAGCCCCATTTTACAGATTGAGAACTGAAGGCTTAGAAAGCTGAGTAATGTGTCCATGTTCACACAGTGGCCAACGGGTCTTGATTTTGTTTTCGACACTTGCAGATCGGGGGACCGTCTGTCCCGGTTTGCCTGGGGCCTGGGACGAGGCTGGTCTATGACTGCTGTCCAGGTGAGATGCTGGCATGCTGGCGGGGTTCCCTTTCGCTCCCTTCAGAGAGTTCTGGTGCAGCCTATATGCGGCGCTTACTCCACGCACAGGGCAGGAGAGTGCACTGGGCATGGGGCTGTGTGGATGTGAGAAGTGCTTCTTTAATCCACTCCCTTGAACAACCTGCTCCTAAGCAAGTGTCGGCCATTTGGAAGTAAGGGCGTCTCTTTAACGCCAAAGGGCGCCCTCCGGAACCCTCCTGGGCCACCTCTTGGTTTCCCCTGCTCAGGCCTAGCCTGCCTCCCTGGCAAGATCAAGACTGGAGCAGACTGACGCCCGTGGACTGTCCTCTGGGGAACAGGCACACGGTACTCAGGATACCTGTCCATTCAGTGAAGGCCCAAATCCAAATCCCTGTCCCCTTCTCCGTGGGTCTAAGATTCCCCAGACAGCTTGGGTATCAGATTCTGGTTTGCAGAGAACAAAGCGGCCTGTACTTCCC